CGTATTGTCCTCATCTTCCACAAACGCACGATTCAGTAGACGTATAGCAGTGACAGTCGTATGCTCTCAATTGAAATATTAGAATAATTATTTATTGTTTTTAAAAAAATATATATATATATATATATAGGGCAATCACTATATAATAAGCATGTTTAAATTATTATCTCGTTATTGAAATATACATATGAAATACCTCTATATACACACTTAATACATATTATAAACTAATAATCGCAATTATTTGAGTGTAAATTAAAAAATAGAATACATAAGTAGGTACATATAGGTTTATAAATAAATAGATATTTATTACGGTTTGTCTCTTAAAAATTTATAAGTCTTTAGCCTTCTTTAACTTAGAAAAATGTATAATGAAATAATAACTTATAAACAAAAAAAAAATCCTAATTTCTTAACAATTAAATAGTTTTTAAAAAGAAATTTCTTTTCGTCGTTAAATCAAATTCATTAATTACGGTATATTAGATATGTCATCTTTGAATTCGCCTCCTATTTCCCTTTCAATCAATAGTAATATTAAGTTATTTAGCCTATGACAAGTCAGCTATATTTTTTATCGATCGGGGGCATACGTTTTACTCATTTCGTTGCTGAAAATGTTCATTCTGCTTTGACACTGGATATCGGAAATAACAAATTATGTACAATAATTTTGACCAGTTCTTCAAATTCAAGTTTTAATCTTTTTACTTCATACCACGTTTCAAAATGATCAGATCCGGAAGTGGGTACCCAAACAAAGTTTTACCTAATTGATACCTATTGATAATAAACCCAAAAAATTATTTTTACAGCAATCTATGGATAATAGAGGTAATTTGAAATAACACGGAAACGTTAAGTCCGATAAAGATTTATCTTAAACCGTATCATTTTCATCTTAAACAAGATAACATTATTAAACGAAATCAATATAATATTGACTATCGAGTTGAGAAAAATTGAGACAATAGATATATTAATATAATAAATATAAGTACCTACTGTACATTAATA